AAAAAAAAAAAAAAATTACGCTCAAAAGCCAGTCCCTGGTCCTGCTCCAAGGCCATGACTTGATTCTGTAGCCTGCAGGGTAGTGGTTTCTGGGGTTACAAAAGATGGGTCTGAAGCCAGACCCAGGAACGAGGACTTCTTCCCAGATGCTCACAAAGCCAGTCCCCTGGAGTCAAACAGCTCCTGGACACACGGAGCTGATGGTGAAATGCTCACAAGTGCTACTGCACGGCCAACACCTTCAAGAGGAAAGTGGACACACCGAACAAGCTCCGCCCACACTCACCTCGGAGTCATCTTTAATGCTGTCACGTTTCCGGGTTGAAGAAATATAAGCAACTGGCAAGAGGGAAGAAACACATCACAGGTTGTCAGGAACATGGCCTGAGCACCAAAAGACCCCGAGGCCCCGCGCCTCAGGGAGCCCCCGTCGAGCTCAGAATCGAGTAGCTTCCTGAGCTCTGGCACCCTGGCCGGTTGACGGTGGGGCCCGGGTACCGGAACTGCAGTCCCTGGCCACCTACTTGATACAGCTCCACTATAGAGCTCCTGAGCGTACGATGACGTGACGTCCAAACCACTTCAGGATGAAAATCTATGGCCTGACAAATGCATACAGCACACACCAAGTATTTTAAGTGACTTCAGGGAGGCAAAATCCTCTAATACAAAGCCAAACTACAGTATACGCTGTGTATCAGGTGTCATCCGCGCATAGACGGAGGTGAGAATGGGGGTGGGGATGGGAATGCCACAGGACAGGATGGAGCGCGAGAGCTTGCGCAGTCCCGAGCAGCCCAGGCCTGGCCATCCGTCCAAACGGAACTGGAAATTTTTCTCGAGTGTCTTAACATTCAAACGCCCCTCCCCCACGCAGGCCACTGGTGCGCAGCAGTCCCGTGGACTGTGCAGGGGCCGCGCCGTGCAGGGCCAAGGTGTGGAGGCTCTCAGCCTTGCTGCTGCCCTGGGCCCGTGTGGAAGGACCGAAGCTGGCGAGGAAGAGCCCCTGCCCGGCTCAGAGCCCACCCGCCCACCCCAGAAAGGGGCGCCTACTTCCATCCGTCTCCTCAGAAGGAAGGTCCACGCTGTCTCTCTTGTCATCTACGGGAGGCTCCTGGGAAGGCATGGCAGAATCCTGTGGAGGAAGGGCACAGCTGTGGCAGTGAAGCGTCACCTTCAGAACGACACACCGCAGTGCGCACGGAGACGCCGCACATGACCGCTGTGGTACGTGGCATGCACAGAGACGCCCGCACCACTGCTGAGATGCTGTGCTGAGGTGAGATCATAAAGGCACTGTCCACGGGCAGAGTCCACGGCAGAGGTGGTCGTTTGGTACTGAGGCCTAGGTGGTCCTGGACCCAGTGCTCAGTGGAGTCACCATGTGTGATCAGCCATCGGATCCCCAAGGCCCTGGCACTCTAAGCACTCCTGGGCAGATGGTATCTGAATGGAAACGACTCCTCAAGGGGCCCGGCGGGGCCCCGTCCTCACCCAGCTCTGTGGGGCGTGCCCGTCCACCTGCGTTCTTAGGGCAGTGAGGACCTGTGGTGTCGAAGAAGCGCAGCAGGGCAATAGCCCACGGCCGCAGCCCAGGGGTATTCATGCACCTGGCAATACTGGACGAGACCAGAGTGGCACTGGACATGGCGAGAGTCAGCGGGACCCGGTGCACCTCACGGCTGGGACAGGTACCGAGAGGTGGTTTAGTGACTGCGTGGTGGAAAGTCCTGGATCCTTTACGTCCACAAGGTAGAGTGGGCACAGCCTAGCTCCGCCTGCTTCCCAGGGCGGGCAGCGTCACCTGCAGCCCCCAGGAGCACTGTTCCCTGCCCTCACGGGCCTCCCCCGTGGCCTGGGCCACGCTGCCACCCCCCTCCCTCGGGGGTGGTGGCCTGTTGCACAGCAGGCGGAGCCGCCCTTCCAGCCCCTCCCGGAGCCCACTCACCATATGCCTTCTGCAGGTCAGCGGGACGAGGGCGTGGCAGCGCTTATGGACTAGCAGCTTGCAGCGGATGCACCTGTAGCCCTGCCTTGCGAGACCCCATATCCTCTCGCTGCACTGGCCGCAGTACGCTCTCTGTAGGCCGACAGTGACGGTCAGGCAGGTGCTGGCCAGCCTCACAGAGGGCTCAGCAAGAACGCCAGTGGCTCCTTCACTGGTTCTAAGAGGACCCCGGTGCTTCCCTGCCTTCCAATGCCAGGTTCCCACAGCTCAGCGCCCCTCTGTGCCCGTCCGAGGATGCCGGCCCTGCTTGTGCGCTGTGGCCCTGGTTCCCCAAGGGAGACGTGGGGAGCTATTTCCTTCCTGTGGACATAGCCCCCTTCCACCTTGCTGACCCCCCTGGTTCTCTTTGGGTGGCCTGACGAGTCCTCTAGCTAACTTAAAGTGACCAGTGCATAGGGAGGCCTCCCAGGCCTGGCAGACACCAGGACAGGGAGCCCAGCATGACCTGGTGACGGGCTTCCATGCAGCCGGGAAGGGCTCGTCCTGGCCTCTGCCTGTGAAACCAGCCGGCCTCCCCCCTCTCATAATGGAAAAGTCTTGGCTCATTAGTTTGGGAAGCGAGGCCGAGAGTCACTCGGACTGAACCTGTTATCGGCAGAACAGGTGTTTCTCCTCAAAGCTGCACACAGAAGGCCCCTGCCTGCTGGCCTGCCTGGTGAGAGGAGGGGCTTCTGCGCGAAGCCGTCAGTCAGCCACACACAGAGGCAGCAGGGCCACGGAGGGAGGAAGCCCACGCGGAGCACTGCGGCCAGCCTACGCTGCGGTCTCGGGTCAGGACGCAGCGTGCCTGGCCCTGTGCAGCCGGGAGGAGGAGGGACACCGAGGCAAAGCCCCATTCGCTGGGGTCACCGTGCAGGCCGAGCACAGGAGGCTGACAGGGGCCCCAGTGCAGGAACGGACCCGCCCCTGGGGGCGGGTCCGGGGCCACTCACCCTGTTAAAGCGCTTGGCTTGGAAGAGGTGGCCGTTGGCTCGGTACAGCTTCCTCCATCTTCTGGCTCCCCGGCGGTAGATGGATTCTAGAAAAGGCGTGAGCAAAGTGTAAACAGGTGACCTTGTGGTCCGGGGGCCCAGCTCCCACTCACGCTGTGGACAGGGCCGGGCTGTTCGTGTCCAGGTGACCAGGCGGTGGCTGCTGCCCAGCCGAGGATGCCAGGGCTGAAATGCCAGCGTCCCGGGTGGCGGCTGCCCTCGCCTCTCCTCACACGATCCTCATGTCTCACTGCCAAGGCTGCCGGAGCCGCAGCCCAGGCGGAGGACATGGCCACAGACCCCGACCACAGCCCAGTCACGGGCTCCTCCTGGCAGGTGGAGTCTGGGGGGGGGGCACGGCGCCCGCCTCGGTCAGGCCAGGCTTACCCCTGCTGTTCCCCCGTCCTCTTCCCCTCTGGGAGCTCCGGGAAAACGGGGTGCTTTTCCACACGGAACACGGGGCAGAGGGGTCGCATGGCGTGCACACACGCATGCGGGCAGGGAGAGCGGGCGCCACGCTGCTCTGCGGCTGTGGAGAGGTGCAGGTCCCAGCATGGGTCAGTGACACCCCCAGACTGGAGACCGGGGCTCCCCCTGGGTCCCCTTTACCCTCAGTCTTGGGGCAAACGCTTAGCCGAACCCAGAGCTCGTGCTTTGGACTGCAAGCCACCACCAGCATCATCTCCTAACACGCTCTCAGTCACGACAGGGAGGAATGCGGAGAGAAGCCCTGGCCACGCTGGTGGCCCTCCGCATCCCTCGGTGGCCCCAGCCTTGGCTCCTTCAGAAATCCACCTACAAAGGGAGCTGTGTGCTTTTATAAAATCCTGTGGCCAAAGAGCCTTCCACAAACGCGGCGGGGGTGCGGGGTGCCGCGGCGGGGGTGCGGGGTGCCGCAGGCGGGCGCAGCAAGGCAATGTTTTTAGAACAAGCAGATCACCAGCTGGGAGGAGACTGCTGAAACCAGGTCACGGGAGCAAAACCTGCCTCCTCCCTTTAAAGGGAGGGAGGAAGCAGGAAGCCAGGCTCCCCCGGGAACAGCAGAGGCCCGGCCGGCCCGGGCCGTGGTTCCAACCGCCCGCCCACGGCGCCGTGTCCCAGCACGTGGCCTGCAGTCTGGAGAGGCAGTGTGGCCTGGTGGCCCCCAGGGAGCCCCACCGCAGATGAAACCTCGGGGCGGCGCCAGACCCGGGCAGCAGAGGCCACTTCTGCCCCCCTCCCTCCTCCCGAGCGGCACCTGAGGCCGGGGACCGCCCAGGCCCCTTCCCCAGCGGGGGCAGCACGGTGTCCATCAGCCCAGGGCACTGAGGAGTCCCTGGGGAGCCTCCATGTGACTCTGCCCAAAGGCCGGTCACCCACACACCCGCATTCCTCCGCATGGCATCTGTGGCCCTCATACCTGAGAGGGAGGGGCACGGGCGAGACCAGAGGAACTGGAGACAGGTGCGCGCAGGGGGGAGGGCTGGGGGCGGGGACACCCGCAGACCAGGCCCCGGCTCCGCCTCCCGCCCCCGGGGCCATCACCACCTCAGCCCAAGAAACCAAGAGCCGCAAACCCGGCACAGGCTGAGCTGGCTAAGGAGCCCCCCAAGCCCCTGGAAGGACTGACAGCAGGGCCTGTCACCTACGATAAAGCCCAGCTCCACTATGGAGCCTGTACTGTGTCCCCCAGCTACGGGTGGCGCCCTAACTTCAGGGCGCAGGGGTCAAACCGAGGGCCCCGACCCCACAGGGTTAGTGGCTTCGCAGGAAGAGAGGGGAGCTCGCTCTCCACCATGCAGAGGTAGGCGAGAAGGCGCAATCCGAGCCCCAGGCTGGACCCATGTGCGGACGGACGTCCAGCGTCCACCAGGCATTAGCTCCTGTGGCTTATTCGCGCCCACAGCCTGAGGGACTGTGTTGGCTTCATGCATCCATGCTTGGCCCTGCAGATCGCAGGACTTGAACACAAGATGAGTGATAAAAGCGTTTCTTCTTTATGGGAAAAATGTGGGGGCGAGTTAACCTGAGGAAATCTGAAAGACTTTCTAAAAGCAGAGCCAAGGGGGTGGGTGCGGGTGCACCAGTGAGGATGGTGTATCACACACTCGGGCCACACTCGGCGACTGCAGGGCCCAAGGCCTGTACACGCACGACCGAGGGGAAAGCAACCAACACGGAGAAGACAGGACGGGATCCACAGGTGATGCAGATGGGAAATACAAGCTCAACCTTGTGAAAAACTTGTCAGATGGTACCAGGTCCGTGCACACCAGGGTGCTTGTGTTCCAGGGACCTTGTGTACTGAGGACCTTGTGTAGCAGGGACCTTGTGTTCCAGGGTCCTTGTGTACTGAGGACCTTGTGTACCAGGGTCCTTGTGTACTGAGGACCTTGTGTACCGGGGACCTTGTACCCTGGGGTTCTTGTATACCAGGGTCCTTGTGTGCTGAGGGCTTAGTCACGGTGGTCTCCCACAGCTCTGATGCCAACAAGGCTTCTTGGAAATTGCTGTACTCCTGGACAGGGTCCAAGCCAACCACAAATAGTATTTGTAAAGGTGACTTTTGCTCCAACAAAGAAAGGGAACTATAGACCAGTCTTTCTGATGAACACAGACACAACGCTTTCAATAAAATGCTAGCCAAAAAGTCCAGCAAGTAATCAAAAAAATCATCCAAAGCCGGGCGCCAGTGGTTCATGCCTGTAATCCCAGCTACTCAGGTGGCTGAGGTCTGAGGACTGCAGTTCAAAGTCAGCAGAAATACCCATGAGACTTTTTTTTTGTTGGTGGTCGTGGGGCTTGAACTCTGGGCCTGGGCGCTGCCCCTCAGCCCTTCAGCTCAAGGTGAGAGCTCTACCACTTGAACCACAGCACCACTTCCGGCTTTTTCTGTTTATGTGGTGCTGAGGAATCGAACCCAGGGCCTCATGCATGCGAGGCAAGCATTCTTACCACTGAGCCACCTTCCCAACACCCTCCATGAGACTCTTATCTCCAATTAACTACCAGAAAACCAGAAGTGGAGCTGTGGCTCAAAGTGGTAGAATGCTAGGCTTGAGCAGAAAAGCTCAAGGGCAGTGCCTAGGCCCTGAGTTCAAGCCCCATGACTGACAAAAAAAAAATTCAATTTGATCAAGTGGACTTTATCCCAGAGATGCAAGTCTGGTTTAACATATGTAAATTAATAGACATAATACACCACATTAATCTAGCCAAAGACAAGAGCCACATGACCATCAGTAGATGCAGAAAAAGCCTTTGACAAAATCCAACACCCATTCATGTTAAAAGCTCTAGAGAAGCTAGGAATAGGAGGAACATACCTAAAAATTGTAAAGCGATAAATGACAGACCAACAACCAAGTCATACTGAATGGAGAAAAACTAACCCTTTCCTCTGAAATCAGGAACAAGGAGAAGATAGCCACTCTCTCCACCCCTTTTCCACACAGTTCTGGAACTCCTAGCCAGAGCGAAAGGCAAGAAAAAGACACAAAGGGATTTCCATAGAGCAAGAAGTCAAATTGTCACTATTTGCAGATGATATGATGATCTTATATGTAAAAGGACCCCAAAGACTCCACCCCAAGCTCCTAACACTGACAACAACTTTGGCAAGGTAGCAGGATACAAAATTAACCCACAAAAATCAGTAGTCTTCCTGTATACCAACAATGTACAAGCAGAGAAGGAAATTAGGAAAACAACTCCATTTGCAATAGCCTCAAAAAAAAAAATCTGAGAATAAACCTAACCAAGGAAGCAAAAGACCTTTATATGAAAACTATAAAAATTTGAGGAAGCCATATGCCGGTGGCTCACCCCTGCAATCCTGCCTACTCAGAAGGCTGAGATCTGAGGATCATGGTTCAAAGCCAGCCCAGGCAGGAAAGGCTGTGAATCTCTTATCTCCAATAAAACACCAGAAAACTAGAAGTGGCTCTGTGGCTCAAGTGGTAGAGTGCTGGCCTTGAGCTGAAGAGCTGAGGGATAGCACTCAGGCCCAGAGTTCAAGCCCCATGACTGACAAAAAAAATTTTTTTTTGAAGAAATTAAAGACAACATCAGGAAATTGAAAGATCTTCCATGTTCATGGATAGGCAGAATCAATATTGTGAAAATGGCCATACTGCTAAAAATAATTTAGCAATCCCCACCAAAATCCAAATTAAATTCTTTACCAAGATAGAGAAAACAATACAAAAATTAATATGAAACAGCAAGTCTAGGGGGAAAACAAAAGGAAAGCTGGTGGTATCCCAACCCCAGACCCCACGCCCTTCTACAGAGGAAAAACCACAAAACAGCCTGGCATTGCCACAATACTAGACCTGAAGATCAACAGAACAGACTAGAAGACCCAGAAACAAAACGAGTTATCTGATATCTGGTAAGGGAGCCAAAGACATATGCTAGAGAAGAGACAGCCTCTACAGTAACTGGTGCTGGGAAAACGGGGCATCCATATGCAGAAAAGCAAGAGCGGATCCCTGTTTGCCACTACTCACGAACATCAACTCAAAGTGGACCAAGGCCTCAACGTCAGACTTGAAACTTGGAAATTACTGCAAGAGAGAGGAGGAGAAACACTAGAACTCATAGGCAGAGGCAGAAATTTCTTGAAAAGAGTCCCAGGGGCACAACAGATAGGAGAGAAACTGGACAATGGGCCTATGTCAAAATAAAAAGTTTCTGCACAGCCGGGCGCTGGTGGCTCACGCCTGTAATCCTAGCTACTCAGAAGGCTGAGATCTGAGGATCACGGTTCAAAGCCAGCCCGGGCAGGAGAGACCGTGAGACTCCTATCTCCAATAAACCACCAGAAAACCGGAAGTGGCGCTGTAGCTCAAGTGGTAGAGCGCTCGCCTTGAGCTGAAGAGCTGAGGGACAGCGCCCAGGCCCAGAGTTCAAGCCCCACGACCGACAAAAAAAAAAAAAAAAGTTTCTGCACAGCTAAGGACATAGTTATTAACTAGAAAGACAGCCAATAGAGTGGGAGAAGATCCTCATCAGCAAGGCATCTGACAAAGGCTTAATATCCAATATATACAAAGAGCTCAAGAAA